CTGGTAACAACCACGTTATGTGCAGAAGGGTCCTTGCCTCTTCCTTGGTCTATCAGGATGAAAATTGCTCTTGGAGCTGCGCAAGGTCTTGCTTTCCTTCATGAGGAGGCTGACAGACCAGTAATATATCGTGATTTTAAAACATCTAATATATTATTAGACGCGGTATGTGGCTTAATATATGCATGTATTAGAAATTACTTCACTAATCATTTCCTCTTTTCAGTCCCTCTCTGATTTTGATACAAAACAATACTGTTTTAGGACTACAATTCCAAACTTTCTGATTTTGGACTTGCCAAGGATGCTCCTGATGGAGGCAAAACTCATGTGTCTACCAGAGTTATGGGAACCTATGGCTATGCTGCCCCAGAATATGTGATGACTGGTGAGTGGACTTTAATTCCTTTCCCTCTACGTGTTATGTTATGTGTAGATGTATGGATACCTTTGGATGAACGATAGGAATTGCCTGTTAGTTGTTGAATTTCCTTGCAATGGATAAGGAGGCAGTCAGTCAATCATGTTAAAAATTGAATGTTCTAAATTGTCCGAGGTAAGGATTTAAACTGCTGCATTTAGTGTTTGCCTATATGAATGAGACTCGGTTAGGACATGCTTATTGGTGCAAATGAACAGAACAATCGGCGCAACTTTCAGGCCTGGCTATATATATATATATATATAAGAAGGATTAAATGCAATTCATTTTCAGCCTCAGGAAATTGGAATCAAAGATGACCTTATATCTGTTTGGCTTCATTCTACTGCTATAATTTTCTGAACACCACCATACGCAAGTATATGGGTGAAAAGAAAATCATGTTCCATGGCATTGTGTGATACATGTGGGTTTGAAGATGCCACAAATCTTATATCAGTGAGAGGGTAGAGGGGAGAATGGAGATCTTTCTATGAAAGATAACTCACTGCAATTTCGTGGACTTCAGAGCATGACTGTAGTGGTCCTCACCTTGTCTGCTACCACCCAATCTTGCTAGTCTGCCATGGCATCGTCACTATTGAAAAGTGCAAAACTAGTAGTAGTCTTTTGTGTTTTTGGCTTGAACCCAATGATTAAAACAGCCATCTTCTAGTCTTCAGTCATCTAGACTTGAAAGCTTGTCAAGAAAGGTAGAATTTGAGATGGTATTTGGATTAAGTTTCCAATTGAGTTTGAACTCTTGTATTGCTGTATTTCATGACAAAATAAGATCAGACACCCTAGTATCAAATAGGACCAGATCATTTGTATCTACTGACTGTAATGCCAGATCATACAAAACCTGTTCTTCTGTGTCATGGATGCTATCTCTGAACTAATTTTCATGACTGGCAACTTCCTGTATTTTGCTGGAGTCTTGCTTTTTAATCATTATCCATCCTCGTCCCCTGTGTTTATTTAATCTTAGACGTTTTAAAAGGCATGAAGATAATGAGAGATTTATATATGTTCATAAAATTGTTTCCTTTGTTTGAAAAGCTGTGTAAGTAATTCATCATGTTCTAATTTTAGCTATGCTAGTGTTATGATATCCCACATGTCATGTTTTGGAGGACCATATGATTTATGTCATATCCAACTATCTTGGTCAGCAGAAATCTGTGCAATTCTATTTACTTGTGTCTTTGAGCCACTGCTGTTTGTAGAAATCGTGGCAGTGCTGCTTTTGATAAAATGATGTTGTGCCAATCTAATGTTTGCCACTTTGGTCTAGGACATTTGACTTCAAAGAGCGATGTCTACAGCTTTGGAGTAGTTTTACTTGAAATGCTCACTGGCCGAAGATCCATGGACAAAAACCGACCAAATGGGGAGCACAACCTTGTGGAATGGGCAAGGCCACATTTTGGGGACAAGAGAAGGTTCTACCGCATATTAGACCCTCGCCTTGAAGGCCATTTCTCAATCAAAGGAGCTCAGAAAGCTATTCAATTGGCTGCCCAGTGTCTTAGCCGTGACCCCAGATCCAGGCCCCGGATGAGTGAAGTTGTTGAAGCACTGAAGCCTTTACCAAACTTAAAGGATATGGCTAGCTCTTCGTACTACTTCCAAACTATGCAAGCAGATCGTAACAAATCAAGCATGAATGCTAAAAATGGCATTAGAACAAATGCAGGATTTATAACAAGGAACGGACAAGCACTGAGGAGCTTAAGTGATGTGCGTGCATCTCCATATAACCAGCCTCGGCAGTCACCAAAACCTAGAGGGAAAAACTCATAGCACTATAGTTGCGTTTATATTATATCTGGATTCAGCTTTTTGGCAGTAGCTTCAGCAGTTTGAAATAGCACTGAGGTTTGTTCCATCATTAGTCTGAGAAGTGACGTATGGTCATTTGTTATTCATCCACCATGTTCAATCAGTAAAATGATGGAACTGGCCTCCTGCTTTATGTGGTGGCTTGTGATTGGTAATCATCGAAATGCATCTATTTTCTGTTCTTACCTCTCTAATGCATCGTTTCTTGAGTAGGAAATAATACACTGGACACTGGAAAGATACTGAAATCAAGTGGGGATGTAGAGGGAGGTGGGGTTATGAACAGATGTTAGTAAGCTTGATTGTAAATTGAAGAGAAAGGAAGTGTGAGGCAAGCTTATATAGCTATTTAATTTTGATTCTCCTCGTCATCGTCATCGTCGTCATCATGTGTCCAATCTTTAATTGCCTTTTTCATCCTATTCTGAACTTGCTTTGATGCAAATGGTTTTCTTTATCGAACTTGATGGAAAATGGAAATTCAAATGCATCTTGAAGAGGGAAGAGCAAGGCAACACGCGTGCACACACTCTTCCAACGAAAAGCATTCATCTTGGTGCTGAGGCCGCAACCGTGGAGGTTTGGGGGGGATTTTGCATCCATCGAGGCCGAGGCCGGCGCTATTTTCAAGAGCCTAGCTAGTGAATTCAGACACTGGCACCATTTTTAAGAGTCTGATTAATGAATCCTGACAGTTCGATCAGAGCGCAAGGATAACATCAAGTTAGGTGGTTGAAGGATGTTCATGCTAGTAGATGATCGCAACCACCTATAAACAGTGTAATCGGTTCAATCAACACTGAAAAAGATGTCCACCCATAAACAGGTACATTATTTAAAACAATTATAATATGGAATTTTAGAGTGGGGAAATGCACACACAGCACAAGACTCTGATTGGTTGCTACCAAGGTTGTCAACAGACATGCCGTCATTCATAATTTATTTGTGGGATGCAAGCCAGCTGGGGACAATCTTGGAGGAGCACGATGACTATTTCATTATTCATCCAGCACTCCTCTCTCAAATCTACCACAAACCAAAAAGGAAGGAAAAAAAAGTGGGGGCTGTTTCTGGTTGTAAGCAAAATGGACATTAAAGCTGTCCAGTGAAAGGTTTTAGAGCAACATCAACATTAAAATATTTTAAAATATATTTATTTAAAATAAAAAATAAATTATTTTTAAATTTTTTCAGAAACATTTTTCACTGAATTGCCAAACCTCCTGTTGGCGGTGGAAGAAAGCTGGTTCGGGCTATAAATCAATTTAAATTTTAAACTTGAAAAAAAAAATTAAAATACTCATATATAATATATCAAAAACATCAATATTATAATTTTTCTTTTTAATTTCTATTTCTTTCTCTTCAAAATCCCTAATATCTATTCCTAGATTGCTAATCGAATGAAACTAAACAATAGAAGAAGTGCATGTTACTGGTCTTAGGGTTCTAGCATTTGTTAAGTTACAAGATTTGTGCACAAACGGATCATGAAATTAGGTTTTGAACATAATCTCTTCGTGTGAGAGAGAGATGAGAAAAATGACTATCTTCCTCCATTTGAAACAAGAGCATCTAGAGCAAGCTTTTTTGTTCATTTTTCTAAACGAGTCTTCATTTTCTTCGTTGTTTTATGTTCTTCCCCCCCCCCCATATTTTTACAAGATATGTATTTGCATACCTGGTTGTAAAAATGCTAAAACGAGAGGACTTGGGGGCGGTGCCGGCTGATGAAGCAGAATCCACCAGCATTTCTGCCTGCTATAGCAGTTGCTTTCTCATTTAAGTGAATAGCTACCATGCCGGGATGACAAATGCTGTCTATTCCATAAATTTATAATCTTGAAATAATTTGATTGTATATATAGATATATGTCATTGTAAGATATAAAACATTGTCATTAAATGTAGAATGGTCTGTTGGGTTAACTCAACATTATTTGATTTGATTGATTAGATAAAATAAAAAATTAAAATATAAATAAAAATCTAGTAAAATCTAGTTGATTAACAGGGTTGATCTATGAGCTAAACATCCTCGTAAAACTTCTTTTATATATATATATATATATATATATATATTTAGTTAGTTATTAATTAAATATTGGAAGAATATTTTTTTTAATATGACATTTAAAATTTTTTAGTATATATATTTTATATTTACAAAAAAAAAATTATTTTTTAACTTGAAATTTAAATTTTTTTAATATACATACGCTGGGCTAATAAAAAAAATATTTTTTTAATATAGGACAAATTTTTTTTTTGTTTGGATACTTTTTTATTTGAATATTTTAATTTAAAAAGATAACATATTAATATAATATTTTTTTAATGTGAGATAAAAAATATTTTAAAATAATTTTTAAAATTTTATTATTTATAATATATATAATCTATATTTACATATATTATTTTTTTTTAATTTTTTATATGAAATATTAAAATTTCATATATTTTTTAAATTTTTTTTTGATTAATTTATAACTCGAATCCGACTCAACTCTTCAATTAAGTTTAAATAACTATGATATAAGAAGTTGTAAAATTATTTATAATTTCTAGAAGAAGCAAAGTAAAATAAAAATAAAAAGAGAAAATATAATCACGTAAATAATTTAATATATTTTTTTTTTATATATCAACTTGAAGATATAAAGGGTTATAAACCTATAATTGTAATTTCAAAAACAAGAAAAAAACAAAGCCGCAAACTATAGGAAACTGATTGTAATTAACCGTAAATTTATTTATATCATTTTAATCTTTTTATTACAATCCAATTATTATGAATATTCTAGACTTCCCCTCTCATAGAGCAATTAGTACAAGATTACAAATTGAAATCCTGTCGATGCATGCTCCAATACTTGGTACACAGGGAATAAAAAACATAGTAAAACTGAGGCAAGCAATAACAACAACCAAGAAGGTTAATCATCTTAATTAATCCTCGTTAAAAAGGATCAATCATACGATTAACTGATACTGTTAATCGTCTGCCATTTTGATTGAAGGGTCTTGATAAGATCATCCAGAGCTTTAACAGAAGATCCCTTGTCTTCTCCTTCATCTCTCACTGATGCCCTTAACTGTTCTTTAATCACCATTGCCTTGCTCCTCATATCACCTCCCTTCCCTTTCTTGTCCATCACCAACTCTATCACTTTCTTCACCTCCTTCCAATCTATGCTACTCTGCAGTCCTCTTGTCAGCTCCACACTCACACCCATCTCCTCTACCAGCATTTTGGAATTATAGGCCTGTTCAGCAGCCAAAGGCCATCCTATAATTGGCACAGCTTGGCTCAAGCTTTCCAACACTGAATTCCACCCACAGTGGCTTAGGAATGCTCTTGTGGACTTGTGTGACAAAATCTCCAATTGGGGCGCCCAGTTCCTCACCAACAAACCTTGTTTTCTTTTCTCCATTCTTTCTTCAAATCCTTCTGGTAAGTATTCTGCTCTAAATTCACTTTTTGGTTCAAAACCAACAGGAGGCCTGATGACCCAGATGAAAGGTTTCGCACTCTCTTCCAAGCCAATAGCTAACTCCATCATCTGGGAGGGACTTATGCTGTTTTGAGAACCAAAAGAAATATAGAGCACCGAAGCTGGACTGTGCGATTCAAGCCATTCCATGCATTTCTCAATAGAAATCTCTAGTTTTTTACCAGCACGTCTTGTGCTTATACCTGATGCAGCTACAGATGATGAAGAACAATCATTCTTGAGCACAACTGGTGGCAGAAGAGGCCCTATAGCCCAGACCGGAAGTTTGACAAAGTTCCTCAACCATTCCAATCCTGCAGGCTCAAATTCCTCAGCTGTATTGCACAACCACCCAAAAGATTGCATTGAAAGTGAGATCTGTGACTGAAAAAACTTAGACCAAGAGTCAGTGCCATCAGCATTTCTTAAGAAATGATGCAACTGATTGATGTGAAAGCGACAGCTATCAGGAAATCCCGGCAAATGAAACTCATCAGAATCACCTCTAACTCGATGAGGAAGATTGAGCCAAATAGATGAGTAAGCCAAGGTTCCATAAGCACCACCTGTAGAGAAAGTGACATTCACAGTCCCCAGACTGCTCGCAACTTCAGTTGCCCATCCAAGGAAAACATCTGATATTATACAAAGTGGGGGGTGACCTTGTTTAGCTGCAATATCAGATACAAGGCTGTGAAATGGTTTCCTAAGACTTAGTGATGCAGAGAAAAGTTTGCCAATCGAATCCAGAGACAAGTTCTCGGAGTTTTCAGTGTTTGGAGGCAAGCCACTATCAGTACTGCAAAAAGGTAGCTCAAGGAAGTGGATATGGTCATTTTCTGGTTCATCGGATGAGGAGTTGAAGGTGGAAGAAAGGTACTGGATGTTAAGAGGGGTGCTTGCAATGGATATTTTGAAACCAGTTGCTTGATGGATTTGTCTTGCAAGAGCAAGAAAAGGTATGAGATGGCCATGCGCCATAAACGGGAGCATCACTATCTGTTCAATAGATTTAGACGCCATTAAATTATTTTGTCGAGGTTTGTGCTCAAACTGAATTTGGCTCAAGAACTGGATCTATACTGAGATGGGAGAAGAGTGCCGGCCTCCTTACAACGGACCGTCGAAGGAAAGTAGTTTCTTATTTATTCAGGCATGGAGGTGCCACGTGGGATCTCATATTGGTGGGAACGACGAAAATTCCCCGACATATAGAGATAATGTCGTAAAGACAATGCATCGGTACTGCACACACTTGATCCCCGTTTTGGATCCTTTACTTTCAATCCAAGCCTTCCTCCAACACTGTATAAAATATCTGTCCAGAATTATTATTATAATTATTTTTTAAAGTATTTTTATATTAAAATATATTAACATAATATTTTTTATTTTTTAAATTATTTTAAAAATTAATACATTAAAACAATAAAAATAAATATAAAAATTAATTTTAAAAAATTGAAATTTTTTAAAATAGAAATCAGCCCGCATTTCTAAACAAGCAGAAAAACACATTACCCATTATTTTCAATAAACCCATTAAAAATCAGGTTTCATATTTGAAAGTTTAGTAGTTGATATTTTATAAAATATGTTTTTATATGTAAATAAATTAAAATGATATTTTTTTTTATTTTTAATTAATATATAAAATTAATCTAAAAATATTAAAAAATTAATTTAAAATAAAAATAATAAAATAATTTTAAATTTTAAAATATAAAAATATTCTTATAACACAAAAACAATTAAACTGAAACAATTCTCAAAACACTTTACCTCCTTTTACCCTAGCCCCTTGGCTTATTCATAATTCTATATCTAGATTTTAAACCTTTTTTCAATCAAAAGTGTGTTTGACTACATTTAAAAAGTATCCCGTTCAAGTAACTGCATGTCAAATCATTCATCCAGGCTAAGGATGGAATTAAGAAGCCCCTAGGTTTTTTATTATTATTATAACTATAAACACTCGAATTAATTTATATATATTTTAACTAATTTTTTAAAATTTTAAAATTAATAATTAAATAAATCTTCAATAATTCTAAAATTTATATATTTAACTTAATAATTTCTAAAAAATAAATTTAAAATCTAACCAATTAAATTATTTCTCTTCAAATTAAAAGTTTATGTGTCTTAAATAATTTCTTGAGTGATTAGATTAGTCTTTAATGATTTTAAAATTTATGAAATTCAAGTTGGTAATCTTAAAAAATTAAATTTAAAATTTTATTAATTAAATTATAATCTTTAAATATAAAAGTCACTAATTTTTCTAATTTTAGGTCACATGGGGTTAATAATTTGAAGGAGAAAAAAATAAAACAAGAGTAGGATTTAAAAATAAAGTTTTAAAGGTATAACAAGCAGTAAAGAATGAAATGTGAAAGGAGACTTAATCAAAATTAAGGATAAAATAGATATTAATATAAATCAAAATATTAAATTTAAAAAATTTAAATTATATAATTTTTTAAACTAATGTTGTACTTGTGGTCCAAAATAAGAAGTGTAATAGCATGAAAAAGAGAGTAAATTAATATTAGATTTAAAAAGAAGGACAAAAAAAATCAAAATTCCCTTCTCAAAATTCCTTCACTCCCCCCTTGCAAGGTTAACATTTTACCTATTTCTAAGGTTTAAAGTTACCAAAATTTTTCCCTCCCTCACAAATTGAGCACAACAATGTTAAAAGTTATTTGTAATTTTTTCTCTCCTTTAACCTATACCAAACACCTTTCACTATATTTGTCAAGCTAATGTGTCTTTATCTTATTTTTATATTATTTGCTTTCTATTTATGAATTGCATTCTTCTTTTATATGTTATGTGTAAAAGTTCAAAATAACATTATAAAAATGGTATGAATTAAGTCTTAATTGAAGATCGAATGTTTTAAAAATTAATCCTTATAATTCTTAAAAATGTGGCAATAAATATCATATATGAAAGGAAAAAATTAAATGAGACAAAAATCAAGACACACACATCAATTTTATAATGGCTCGAGCAATCACCAACTCCACTTCTTAAACTACCATTCAAATATTTACTATAAAAATCTTCTTAATAGATAAAACTTTGCTGATATACTAATTTTTTTAAAGTATCAAAATTAGAAAACTTTTCACTTACAGTCTCTTTTAGATTAGGTAGTTAGAAAGCATAAACATGTAATTAATCTTTTTCAAATATCAAAATTAAAAAACCTTTCACTCACAATCTTATGGGTAGTTCAATTATCATTTAAGCTTTTATAATTATTTTTTTTTCACAAAGGTTTTTCTCACCTTATAATAAGGACAATATCATAATATATCAAACTCAAGTTTTTACATAATATAATACAATCCAAGAATGTGAAAGAGAAGATTGATGCTAATAAAGTTTAAAAATATGAGAAAATTATGAAATAATAAATACTTTTAGATTAGATAGTTAGCATAAGTGTTATAAGGTTGCTCACATGAAGTGAAAAGCTAGTAATTATATGTGAAAAATCAACACATGACCATTACACATACTAATTTTGGAGTAGATGTTTTGAACTTTCAAAGTGTTTTTCAATTTTATTAGAAATGGCTATAACTATTTTTGAAAGAAAAAAGTTATCACAAGATTCATGAGTGTAAAATAAATTAATTATTGATTTTAAGGCAAGTTAACTCTTAAATATACTATAAATTCAATACAACTTTCAAATTACAAGTTTACCACTTGGTTAAAAAAGGACAAGAGACTTTTAGTGTGATTAAAGTGCGAGAAATCATTTGACCAAGTTTATGCTATCCATTTAAAAGAATTTTTAGTGATAATACCAAAATATATAATAATACAAATTTTCATGAGGTATTTTTCACTATATATTAATTTCATAAATGAAATTATTTTTTTTTATAGTAAATTTAGCAGTGAAATATTATTTTTATGATGCAAAATTAAATCTTATAAGGACTTGATGATGTGAAATTATACTTAAGTATCTCCAAGTCAAGTTTGCATTCAATAAGTTCATATTGCTTCCATTTGATATAAAAAATTTCCTAAAACATTCAAGCTTTTGACATGCAAGTTAGATTCACTAATGTTTTGTTTTTATCAAAATCATTAATCCACAAGTTAAAACATTCTTAATTGAAGAAGAAATGATTTTTACTAGTTGAACTAAAATATTTTTAATGTAAAAAAGTGCAGGTATTGCTAATATCTTTATTCTTTTATTATGAACTGATATTTTGTTATATACAAAGGTAATCCTTTTCAAATATTATGATAACAACATTTTCGATTAACATGAGTCAACTTGAGATAAAACTTGACTTAAATCATACTTGATAACATTGTTTTTTAAATAAATTTTATTTAATTATATAATGATAAAAAAAGCTATCGGAAAAGCAACCATATAAAACTTAAAACTAAAGATGGGTTCTAAAATAAAAAGCTTGTCAATATTATAAAAATACTATTATACTCTTATTTGAAAACAAATTAAAAATATATCTTATATAATAAAATAATATCTAAAACTTATTCTTAGTTAATTTAAGAATTTAATAAACTAATATATTTATAATATTTTAAATTAATTAATTTTAAAAAATAAATAAAAAAATGCATAAGGCACACATGTCTAGGTAGCCTAACATGCATGGCTCTCTAAAAAGGGTACATACTTGTGGTCCTTCCAAGTCAAGCCCAAACATATGACCTTAATGAGAAACCTAACATCGTATAGGTCTAGAAACCCAAGCCTGTATATGAGTTTTTTATTCTTTCAAAACATGTCATCTATTTTTTTTTTCTCTAAAAATGTAGGTTATAGATTACCTGCTGTCACATCCGGACATCGTGATGACTAAGCAAAATTTTTTATTTTTTTTTTTAAAATATATGACATCTTGTTCTTTAGGGGAAGAAAGATTTATATTCAAGGAGTTGCCACTTAGTATTATGGTTACCAGAAACCTTAATTGGTCAACAAAGATTCTATGATACGAGACTAGTTAGGGAAGTGCTATCATCCTATCAGCATCCTACCTAAGACAGGTTGCTTTGTTGATCTTGTTTTAAATTGTTAAAAGTTTGTTATTTTTTTTATATTTTTTTGTTTTTTCTATAATGTTCCTGACTCTGGTGTTAATGAATATTTATCCATGAATATTTCTAACTCTATCACTGGTAAATATTGCACAAACATATAAAGTGTGATATTCTTCACTCTGGCGCTAGATAATAAGTTCAGAAGATTTGAATTTTTGATTGAAGAATAAATAATTTTTTTATGCCTTTCTCTTTTTGTTTACCTTTTTATGTACTCTTTTTAGACAAGAAGGAAAAAATGCATTGCATAACAAATTCGCATTTAACAATAGTAGTTCTAGATTGAACATGCAACATAGAAAAACATGACGCAAAGAAAAAAAATTAAAACGACACTCGAGGGGACCATAAATAAATCAATGAAGATCCCTAAATAATTTTGAAATTTTTAGATATCAAAAAAAGACTCGCGTGACCAGATATCAACACAAAAAAATAATAAAATAAAGGGGATTGACATAAGGGTGTGTTTTGCTAAATACATCCTTGGCCCAAAACAAATTGGGCCGGCTGAGCCTAGGGAAATTTTTCTCTCCCTAACAAATTATACCCAACAGTGTTAAAAGTTATTTGTATTTTTTTTCTTACTCCCATACCAAACACCTTTCAATAAAATTGTCAAGCAGCTAATGTGTCTTTATCTTATTTTTATATTATTTGCTTTCTATTTATGAATTGCATGCTTTTTTTTATATATATATATATGTTATATGTAAAAGTCTAAAATAACATCTAAGAATGATGTGAATTAAGTCTTCATTGAAGATTGAATACTTTAAAAATTAATCCTTATAACTCTTTAAACTTTGGCAATAAATATTATATATAAAATATAAAAATAAAATGAGATAAAAATCAACAGACACATAACAAATTTATAGTAGTTTAGGCAATTACAAACTTTATTTGTTAAACCACCATTCAAGTATTCATTACCTTACTAATACATTAATCTTTTTACAGTATCAAGATTAAAAAAACCTTTCACTCACAATCTTTTTCA